CTGCTTCTCCCTCTCCCACTCCCCCTGCTTGTGTTCCCTCTCTCGCTGTCTCTCTGTCAAATAAATAAAAAACCTTTAAAAAAAAAAAAAAAGTGTCTGCCTTCAGCTCAGGTCTTATCTCAGGGTCCTGGCATCCAGCCCCAGGTCAGGTTCCCTGCTCAGCGGGGAGACTGCTTCTCCCTCTCCCTCTGCCCCTCCCCACCCCCAGGTTCATGCTCTCTTTAATAAATAAAATCTTAAAAAAAAAAAAATCAAGTTTGGGCGCCTGGGTGGCTCAGTCGGTTAAGCGTCTGCCTTCGGCTCAGGTCATGATCCCCGGGTCCTGGGATGGAGCCCTGGGTCAGGCCCCCTGCTCAGTGGGGAGTCTGCTTCTGCCCCTCCCCCCACTTGTGTTCCCTCTCAAATAAATAAGATCTTTTTTTTTAAAGATTTTATTTATTTGACAGAGAGAGACACAGCGAGAGAGGGAACACAAGTAGGGCGAGTGGGAGAGGGAGAAGCAGGCTTCCCACCAAGCAGGGAGCCCGATGCGGGGCTCGATCCCAGGACCCCGGGATCACGACCTGAGCCGAAGACAGATGCTTAACGACTGAGCTACCCAGGCGCCCCAATAAATAAGATCTTTAAGAAAAACAAACAAAACCCAGAAGTTTGATTCCCACGTATCGTTTCCAAAACCATGCTGCAGAAACTCAATATATCCAAGTTTGACCTCAATAGGTATTTGAAGTTTAGAAAAGGCTTCCCAAAATTCTAAGGTGGATCCCAAGCAAGTTTCATCAGATATGTAACCAAGAGAATTGGACTAAGCAATCTTTTAAGATATCTACCAGCTCCTGATTAAAAATTGGAAAGCAAAAGCCAAAAATGTGACTGGCATGGACTACAGACACCTAATCATCTCAATGCCTTTATTATTAGCTTACTATCAGGATTGAATCAGTTATATGGAAGCACCAAAATGAATTTGTCGTGCTTGGCTCTGTATGAATATACAAACCTGCCTAATACAATTCCAGTGTTTTGTAAACTAGCAGAATTCATGTTGTATAACAGTCCAATATCTAAAACCCTCAAGAAACTTGCACCATTTTTCTTAGGGTTGAGGTTTATTAACCAGAGCCAGATTAAGACCGTCATACTAAAGAGACTATGGGCCCAAGACATAAGTAACTCCAAAGAGCATCAACACTGAGCCAGGAAATAAACGTAACGAAGTGCAAAACCCTCATTTCTCCCATAATTTACCTCGAGTTCTCTCACTTTAAAACATTTTTGTGCTCCCACTTTGCTAGTGCCAAGATGTGTTCAATGTGCCTCTTGGGTGGGAATTCCACCTCTAGCCCCCCGCCGCCTCCCAAGCTAGGAGACTACACAGGGGGTTCCGGAAGGGGAGAACGGCCAGCCACAGGCCATCCTCCTCTTCCCTCCCACCACCCTCTATCGGATTCAGTGACACGGTCCCCTGCTGCAGGCTTCAGTGCGTTTCAAGCCAACGGCAACTCGGCTGCTAACCTGGGAACAAGGAAGCCAGGACCGAAGGCAAGAGAGGGGCACACTGATCCCAGGATGCCACCGCCAACAGGCATGAATTTTGCTTTTAACTTCCCATCTTAACACAGCTCGACAAGCTCTGTTTGGATAAGCTCACTGCACAATTCCACAGGACACTTGGGACAGTGGGCAGCAACAGGCCTCCGCTGGTAAGAGGAAGCAACCAGCAACAGCCATCATCTTCCTCTTCCCTCTCTCTCTGTGCCTCCCACTCTTCCAAACATGACGGTGTAGTGGGAGTAAGGACTTTAAGTCAGATGGTCCCAAACAAATTATTTTTACAATGTAAGTGCAAGTGATGTATCTGAATGGACTTCAGATAGCAGAGGAATCAGAAAACTTCAACAGTGAGGATCATAGCATGTTAAACAGACCACCACCACTGAAGGCACTTTTCCAGCTCTTTTATTCCTTTAATATCTTAACAAAAGATACCCCAAAATTTAAAAAACCTTTGAAAAATATACAGTTTCATATTATTTACATAACATGTGAGTACAGGTTCCAACATCATACAAACATTGCTATGTTAGAAACAGCAGAAGGCATGTTATAACTCACTGCCTCCTGGATGGTGTAAGCTAATGGACATGCTTTCATATTTCAACCACCTTTGTCACTTGCTATCCTGATACATAGACTACTAGGCACCTGAGAGGTTGGAAGACTACTGAACTTGAACTTCAATACCTTCTGTTGTGATCTTGTTATTTTCAAAACTTACTGCATTTTAAATATCTTTACAAGTTTACTTCATCCACAACTAAGCTACCTTTATCGTCATTATCCTAAATGATCAAATATTAACCACAAAAACTATTATGTGTACACAGTTCTAAAAATCAAACATAAGACTGTGTAGCCAAGTTGTGTCGGATAGATACTTAAACCCAGTAAATCCCCTAGTGCTTTGTAAGCCATCTAAATTCTGTTAAACAGAAGTGGCAACTTCAGTTTCCATGCTTTAGACTAGGTTTCTTAAAAATGCGTTAAAAAGTGACTGACGATAATTGGAATAATTGGTACCTTATAAATTAATCAAGAAACCTAAGATAAAAAATTCTAAATTATAGTTTTATTTGTATTTAAAAATACATTGGAAATTCTGCATATGCCCATGATCAAGCTTATTTTCAAAGCACATTACTTAAATTTTGATGACATGGTTTGTTCTGACAAGTCCTTTTTCAAGCTGAACCCCAAACTACGGAAGCTCCTGTAGCTTTCCCCTCGCCCTGCCACCGACGACGTATACCGCTTCCTCACTAATGACGATGGATGACTTTCATCTGCCTTTTATCACCTGAACAGTTTTTCGACCGTAATGATAGTAACTGTAAGCTGATGCAGCTGTGGTGAAAGCTGTGAAACACCTTTTTTGGAAGAAAGAAAGAAAGATTTAGTTGTCAAGTCTAAGACACAGGAACCATGAGAATCACAAAGAATACATTTAATAGAGTTATTTAAAAAGCAAAAAGGCCATGCGTGGAATTCTTTTTTAGCTCCAGGAATCTAAAGCTGCTGCTTTCAAGATAATCTCAAACAGAATCTAGTTAATGAGCCCGAAAAAAATAATACTGGCCATTATCACCTCTACCCAGCTGTTATTCTAGGTGTCTTACGCCACCGTTTTCTTTCTTTTTTTTTTTTAAAGATTTTATTTATTTATTTATTTGAGAGAGAGAATGAGATAGAGAGAGCATGAGAGGGAGGAGGGTCAGAGGGAGAA